CAAAGAGTAGTAAGATTTGCAGGTTTGGTTGTATGAGTTGTTAACTGCTACGGCACCCGGCCGGTTGCCCGTCGACGCACGGAAACGTACATATGATCAGTGGCGGAGCCAGCTCAAACTTAGAGCCTGGGCAAGATATACGTGATGCCAAGTTAATTAAATTTTGCCCAAACAAACTGTAAGTAAATCATTTATTTACTACTAGAGCTCCATGCACATGCACCATGGGAGCCCGGGCTCGCCGTGTGCTGTCTCCGCCACTGCATATGATTCAATCTATCCATGAACAGTCTTGCTAAGCCTTAGTCGACTGAAACATAATGAAGTCCGAGTCGATGTTATATCTGTGAGATCTTACATTAAGGTTCATGCAAGATTGTCTTTTTAGTTTTTTTCTTTTTCTCTTTCACATGTTATGTCACTTGACTGAGAAGTAGCCACATCTATCAGTGAATTGGCCATGTGTCGTGAGCACATTGACGCGCGTAGGGAGAGGGATTGCGAAACGTTTTTCACCCCACTCCACTCCACTCCGCTCCGCTGGCATTGATGATTGGGTGCGTACGTGCCCCTGTTCCCATGCCGTGCACCTCGCCAATCATTTTCAGACAGGCAGGCTAGCAGCACCCCGGCTGGGTCAACTGTAGCAACCAGCGATGCGGAGGCGGAGCGAGGCCGATCCAGGCGGCGGATCATCGAGGTAGAAAAGCAAAAAAACATGATGCACCAAGACACAGCGTCTCTGTAGCCAGGGCTGAATATTCCGATCCACTATTTAACCAGCTACTACATACCATACGTACTACCACCACTACAGAAAAATCCACATCCTCCTACTCTACAATGCATGCAATAATATGTTTTTCACTTACTTCCCATCAATCATATATATACATGCGGTGCGACGGAGTACGGAATGTACGTAGCACATCTGCAAGTTTTTGATCGTGTGTTTTTCAGAGGACGGGTGAATTCATTCTCTTAGTTTTCAACGTGTTTGAATTGCAGCGTGCAAGACCAATTAAATTCACTGGTATGCCGCAAAAGTTGGACTCTTGGCGAGCTCGACATGCGGCGTGCGACAGCTTGAAAAAGGAAAAGGGCCCCGGCAGGACATAACTGTCCAAATGTTGCTGGTGCACCACACCATGGCCACGCTCTTCTGTTCCTTTTTCAATGCCCTTAACTGCCTTGCATTGTAGGAGCAGGAGCAAGTTAATTTAATGACGCGCATCTGCGTCGCTGCTTAGCGTAACAGTGCAAACTGGCTGCACTGTCTAAATAAGGGTAGATTCATGATCCTTGCATGTATATTCATCCAAGTACAGTAGTATAATATATCCTTGCATATATTCATCCAATTAATTACTCCCTCCGTAAGACGTTTTTTTTATAAAAAACATCTTACATTATGGAACGGAAGGAGTGCCTTCCAAGAAATATCACCGAAACCCGAACATATTTGATTCTTTAAAAGTTTCATTCACTCTGGGTCAATTGTAGTACATCCATTTTTTTGAAGTTCTAGAAACAATTTTTTGTTTTAGTTATTTTATTAGTTTTCTAGTTTTAAACTTGTTTAGAAAATTTTGCATTTCCGAAAAACTTGTGCAAATGTTCAATGGTGGGGCACAAAGTAGCTGAATTTTCTGAAAATTTCAATCACATGTAGTCCTTTGGAAAAATGTATTTCTGTGTAGATGTTCATAAGATAAAATGTTGAACTATGGACAATAGTAAGCATTTTTTACACAAGGAATATGTTAACCTCGGCCTCTCGGGCAAGTGACGCAACCACACTAAGTATGTCACAGTCTTCACATAATCCATATATAAATAGGGGGAATAAGCACCAAATGCACCATTAACCTATACAACAACGGATGAACACACCGCCTCACAATTCACAAATTTATGTATGGGAACAAAAAAGAGAGGGAAAAAAACAAGAAAAATAATAAGAATACCAAAGGTAGGTACTATTCAACTCCAAAATCTACCTAGACACGCTTCACACACACCGGACTTATTCCCCTACAAGTACCCCCACCCACTATTCATCATCAACTCGATCGATCCATGACCATGACTCAAATCGCATCACCATCGTCTTCAGTAGGCACCTCATGGATGAACTGAACCCCCCTCTCATCAAACATGCATGTACAACCGTCTCCACCGTACGCACGTACGTCCTCATCAAGAATCCAAACGCATCGAATATTTATGCACGCTCATTGCTGACCATGCAAGCAAAGCAGACGTCATTGACTGCAACGAAGATATGTATCGTGCCGGCCGACGGGCCGGACGATCAGTTGAACTGCTGGTGGTCCGCCCACGGCCAGAACGGCGGCGGCTCGTCGACGCCGCAGAGGAGGTTGCCGAAGCTGGCCGTGTCGGGGCCGCCGTGGTGGTGCTCCATCTTGGGGACGGAGGCGTGGAGGAGATGGTCGATGTCGACGCCGGCGGATGGGCGTGCGACGGAGGGGTAGAAGGGGATCATTCCCCCGCCGCTGCCGCCCCCCTGCTGGTGCGACGGCGGAGCGTCCATGGGGCCGTCGGACGGCGGCGTGCGCGAGATGTCGAGGTTGATCTCGGAGCTGTTCTCGCTGCGGTTGCTGCAGGACGCCTCCGTCTCCTTGTTGAGGTTGATCAGCTCCGACGCCGCCTCCCTGCAGCCCTTCAGTCCCAGTATCTGCATTCATCACCATATATACATCAGTATACATCAGCATTCAACAATCGAATCCATCTTGGTTTAGCTAGCTTGTACCGGTACGCAATGCAAGCATGGCATTGGCAGGTACCTAGAATTTCGCATTGGTAGTTCATGCAGAAGTTCAGCAGTGAATCTGAATCATGCATCTGTATCTGCCTGAATGCTAGTACTACTAGCAACAAGGAGAAAGCAAGCTAAGCTACACTTGCTGACCTGCACATGCGCACCTAATCATACGGGCACTAATGGTGTTTCCGGGGCGGCCCACACATAATTGCAAATCTGATCGCGGTGAAAAGGCACACATGCAGCGGGGGAGTACGTCCCTGCGACCATGGCAGGCATCACAGAGATGTCACGACCGGGATGATGAAGCCATTGACTCCACTGCAATCGATCGATGGATCGATGGATCCTCCTCAAAGGACTCGGCGCAGCATGGGCACGAGCATCTACCTGCTGCGGACGCTGCCATATTCTGCTGGGCCTTTCCGAAAAGCTACTGTGCCTGCTCAGCTCAACGATGACGATTTCGCAGGTGTAGATGGAAAGGCGTGGGCATGGGCGCCGCTTCCAACAACCTTTCTGCAAGCACTGAAACCCACATGGATCCGAGCCGGACATCACCAACCAATCATTGAGCCGGGGAGGCCGCCCCGAGAAAGCGCAACCGAACGGCGGGCGCCCCAGATCGTCACCCGCGCGCGCAGATCTAGGCCAGCGGCGTGCTGCTCTACTGCCGTGGCCGGCCGCCCAGATGCATGCTTGCCGTCGCCGGACTGAATTGACTGCCGGAGCTACTCACACTAATTTGCATTGTGGTCTACTACAGTGGGTAGGTACTGGTAGATGTGTAGGAGTACCTCGGACTGGAGCTTCTTGTTGTGGGAGAGGAGGGCGTCGTTCTCGGCCTTGACGGCGTCGAACTGGCGCTTGAGCACGTCGTAGTCCTTCTCCAGCTGCTTTGTCTTCCACCGGGCGCGGCGGTTCTGGAACCAGATGGCCACCTGCCGGGGCTGCAGCCCCAGCGCGCGGGCCAGCTGCATCTTGCGCTCCGGCTCCAGCTTGTTGGCCACCTCGAAGTTCTTCTCCAGCGTCCGCACCTGCTCCACGTTCAGCCGCCGCTTCTTCTCGCCGCCCAGCTGCGACCCGTCGTCCGACGTCTCCTCCTCGTTCGCGCCCCCGCCGCCGCCTCCGCCCGTCACCTCGTCGCCGCCGCAGCCCCCGTCGCCGCCGCCCCCGTACATCGCCGGGCGCTTCCCCAGCATTGGCGACAGACCTGCAGCACACGTACGTACAGCATGTTAGCAAAGACCTGGATCGGCTCGGTTTACCGGCGCATTGCGTGCACGATCCGTGCGAGGGTGGCGAATTAACTGACAAGGCATGAAGTTATG